ACTGAGTGAAACGTCTACTGTAGTAAATAGTTTCGTTGGACTGCAACAAACCGCTACCCGCTATTGTATGAATAGATAGTTTCAATAACTGGTTACGTTCTGTAACGATCACTCCTAGATCTCCCCTTTTCCCTACACCGGCTACATTGGTGACCAACCGACGTGATATGAACACGCAACCAACAACCTTCGGAAACTACAACTTCAAAACCTTCGTCATCGTCCTCAAGTACCCCATTCATTCGCTCCCGAGCAGATATTGTCTGCAGTCTTCACATTCTGCAAGCCATCTAGCTTTACAAAGGTTCATCGCAGCACTGGAATAATAATGCATCCTGTTCCTTCAAGCTACTCTCTGCGCTACAGTGTTCGGCACGGCTCTGAGTCTTACTGCTCGCCTCTGCTTCACGGCACTCTCGCAGATTACTTGCCTTCTTCTCGACTCACCGCAGACTTACAAGGCAATTCCCTGGCACTTGCAAATTCGTCGACATCTGGACTGCACTATCGACCTCCAGTCTGAGCAGGGGGGTGTGGCGGCGCTGTCGTCGCGCTACAAGCGAAATACATCGAAGCCTAAATCACGCTAACAAAGTTCCAAAATTAAAGCAATATATATAGAATAGCTCCGAACTACCACCCGGAGCGTTAGCCGCTCCCCGGGCAGAACACCTTGCCCGGCGGGAGATCTCCCCTTTTCCTTTCACCCGCTACAAAAGCTTCAGATTTTTTTGCTATAGACTTTTAACCGCGAGCTTGCGTCCTGACTCGATTTTTTTGCTCACGAGTATAATTCACTTTCGCGTTCCCAAAATTAACTCTCCGATCGCCGGTACACGCTTTTATACTCGATAAGGGGAATATAGAACGTTCTAAGCCAATCCAGTCCATTCCTCTTTCAAACGGGAAGTACTAGAAAAGTCGCGATTTCATAACGATAATAATATCCAATAGAGAAATGGCTTTATTTACGTACACATAAGGTTACTTCTTGCTTGAATTAATAGTTCGTGCATTACTTATTTTTAAGCCTACACATTTTATTACTCGTTCCTTATCGTGGGGAACTTTCTCGTGCAACGTGATGTAATAAATACTAATAGTGGTAATAACAACTCCTTTGTTCTACCGCTTCTACTCCTTTGTACAACCTACTAGGCTGTCACGTAGTCTAGTCTCTAAAAATATGCAAGGGTTGTCACAAAAACATTTCCTTAGATAATAATATAATAACATTATATTTTATTAGTATTCCTCGTAATAATATTTTTTTTCTATAAAGATACAAACTAATTCCCAGTTTACAAAACTAATTGCGTTTCGCAGCTTCATCTGATTCGTCGTGATAAAAACAAAGGTTTGTGCTGGTAGATATCTACCTAATTTTACTATATTTTACCGATATAGCAATATCTCAGGCCCGGAGCAAATAGAAAGAGGTGTTGTAATTAGATTTTACTGTGTAACAACGCGTGACAATTTGCGGGGTGAAGGGGTGTTAACCCCCGCCCACTTAGCTATTTTCCATCCACCGATAAATAGGAAAACTACTTGCATCATTCCATACCGATGTTGCAATGTAGTTTAGCTACCTTGACGATAGATGGCGGCCTGTTCACAAAATGATTATAAAAACTATGAAAATAATATTTTGGCGATTAAAAATTCTTTAGGACTATTGATTATTATACCAATACTGAACTCTACGTACCTTTATATTTTTAGTTCCAATGACACGGTGTCGCCATCTAGTGTCGAATATAATTATATTTGAAAGAGAGAACTACTTTAATAAATTAGGTATAAAATTACTTATAAATGAAATGTGATGCCCATCAATAGCATCAGAGCGTCTATCTAAGTAGTTTTTATACGAGTTAAAAAATAAAACACAACACTTCATCCTTTTCTTCTTAATAGTACGAAAATACACAAATTTGCGATTTTAGACACATAAGCGCACAGGACGAACGCTGACAGTATACTAACTAAAGCCCCGCCCACTGTGATGACGTCAGGACCTGGTTAAAATCACAGTGCACAGTTGTTTAGGCCGACTCCTCATTGTATTTATCTCAGGTATTCCGCTTAAAATATTGGATAGGGATTTGAACAGAATAAATAAAACAGGTTAAAATTATACGTTGGTTCTGTTTATTCAACCGCTTCGTTACAGATGTGCAATCGACAATTTTTTTCCAATATTTTAATTCCCTTTTGTACAACAAATTAAAAAAATTATATAATGAATTCTGATCCTTACATATAATTCAGTTAAAATCGTGATGGAAAGCAATCATATGGTTATTAGAATTCAATTTTACCTAAAACGTCATACAATCTTTACCAATATTTCAAAATGATACCGTGTATGTGTATAGTCATGTTACTGGGCGAACACCAAACGCGTGTAACAGATTCCGTGTACGTGACACTATTAAACGGGCGTACCGGTACGCAGCGAAGGTGACCGGTACTACGCTAGACGTCGCGGGCAGGAGGGGGACTTCGCTCTCCTTCATACCACGCCCCATCGTTACTCCGTCTAGTCGCCGAGTTGACTCACTATTAGTATTGTGTGTGTAATACATATGGCAATACCCTACATATGGCAACACAATACATATGGCAATACAATCGATAAGCGCCACAGAGTACTTTTTATATATCAACCCGACTGTTCAACGTGATGGGTGGTCTAATAAACGTCAGAAAACTTTCTGGTATAGATGAGTACAGCAGTGAACTACAATAAAATGAAAAAAAAATTATCGCTGTATTGTGGACAAGGCCGTGTTTTACGTAAATACGTACGTAATGTCAAAAATTATACTAAACGGAAATTATGTGACGCAGCGAAACAACTTCAAATGGCGGCGCTTCCCCTCCGCCGCGCGCGATGCGACACAGTCTCTACTCAATGTAACGAATTCTTTGATCTTTTAGCTATCTAGTGGTGTAATATAATTTTGATGTAGATGATAGATAATGTAACTGCAACACACTTACTTTATCTTTCGATTTTGTTATCATCAGTTTTCTGCATGGCCTCCCAGTACGGAAGCGTAGTCACGTCAAAATAAAAATAACAACACAACATGATTTTTAAATGTTTAATTTCAAATTACATCGTATAGGAATGTTTACACAGTAACGGTACATTTCCTTTTAATTTAGCAATAGCACAATACAAAATCAAAAGGACAGTGTAATACATAAAATCCACACTAACACCCTCTATAATTACCTCATTCACAAACTACAAAATATATACAACAAAAATACTAAAACAAATTAAACAAAACAATAAAATTTGTATGCCACAATGAAAAGAAAATATTTACAAAAGCAATTCAAAATATTACAAACTTAAAACAAAACTACCTTAAAATTATGCTCAATCCGACATATAATGAAGATGTTTAATTGGTAGTCTCAGGTCTAAAGGTCTTTTAATAAATCGTTTATACGCGGCGCCACAGTCTTCGCGAAGTTTAAACATTTGCTGTAAAATTTCATACTTGACATTTTAGTTCGCAAAATTCCATGGAAGTTTTTTTTATTACAACAAACAGCCTCTACTAGATTCATAATTTTTTTATGATAGCCGTTACATAACCGATATGAAGTTTTCAAATCGATATGAAAAACCGTTCTTAGATCTCTATACGATGCACAAGTTGATCACGCTTCTGCAGTTACATTTGTCAGCGATCGATTAAAGTTCAACGGTCAAAAAAAAAATATTTTTTAAGAAATCATCACGCGTTATTGTTTCCGCAAAATGTATGCCAAAGACGCCTTTGATAAAGGCTTGACATTAGACCTTACCGGTGTTAAAATAAAGTTTAATTCAGAATAACAGCTTAATTAGTAAGGCTTTAGATATTCGCTTCGCCTTGTTTTCACTGGTCATTAGTTAGACAGAGAGGTAAATTGTCGTAGGTAAAAATAAAAATATTGTAAACTATGGGATTACGTTTTGGTATATCGAACTCATGCCAGCTCTAGTTTAAACCTGAGACTTATCATAAAATACTTTTTGTAATAAGACGCTGTATAAGTATATAAAATCAATTTAAACGTAAAGATAATGGCAGCAATAAAATGGGCTAAATAATGTATCAACAATGTTAATAATATTATAGATGAGATAATATATTTCCTGAATACTGGTCTACTCACCAACTTGTTTTACTCGCCTTAAGTATAATGAATATCTGCCAACGCCGGATACTATTTATTATTAGCTACAATCCAATTCAATAATTAATATATTATATTTGTTTAAATGTGTTCACAATAAGATTTGCGATTTTAGTCTTCAAATGTAAAAAGATTAGCCTCAATAAAGTAACACCTCTCTAAATCAATTTTTGTTGTAAATTAAAATAATTATAATCGTATTTTTTTCAATAATCGCAAATATTTTAAATTGTATTTCACTTTATCTCTTATATTTCGCACTTAAAGGATATTGTTCATTTTATATCGTATTTTAAAATAATTGAAATACTAATAACGTATTCTGCACAATTTTTATAATAATAAATCAATATTTCTAATGTTGTTGTAATTTTTAGTTATTGATTGTTGTAATTTTCTTGACACCTATAAATTATTTTATGTAAAATAATTGTCAACCATTCTTTTTTAAATTAAAAACAAATACCATCAAATACAGAAAATGCATTTTAGCCATTTGGACTCAAAAATGCCCCTTCCATTATTCGCAATTACTTACTGTTATCGTTCACGTCGGTCTTCATTTATTTCAATCCACGTAATGAAACAAAATAAAAAGATAGGTAAAACACCTAGCGAACTACAATAAAGTGTGATTGAAATATAAAATTCATTGCAAGAAAACATTAAGAGTAGAAGAGTAAATACGGTTCTAAAATCCTGCTGCAAACTAATTCTTTTGATTTCTTCAAATATTACTCAGCATCAATTTCAATTGCCTCTCGAAATTTACTTATCATACCGGACTCCGTAGTTTACTTGAGATCGAGATCATCTCCTAGAAGATCTTCGCACTCCTTCTCCCACTTATCATCTCCAGTCTTTTCTGCTACTACCTCGTACTCTTTCAACTCGGCTTCAAGTTCCTTCTCCCATTGCTCTGAAATATGTTAAGTTTTAGAATTAGCATCGTGCTTGTATGAGATTAATTTCAAAAATAATTTAGCATCATTATCAATATTTTTATACTTTGCCTTCGTTTGTTTATATCAAAATATATTTGCAATAAGCACTAAAATAATAGTTGAGTAATTCAATGTCAATGTTATTCACCAATATTAATGAGTAGATTTATTTTTATCATAACTATTCTCATCAACCGTAATTCATTTAGTTTTCTACGAAATAAATTTTGTCAATACAAACATTACCTCTTGGTTGTAAAGTTAGAAATAAAAATGCGAATGCTATTTTAGAATAATATAATTATTTCAATTCATAATAGCTAACTATAAACGGCATTATAAACTATATTATGTAGTATCCACTAAACAGTTTTCAATTACTGACTGATAATAGAGTGTTACAACTACACAGTCACTAATAAATAGAATGTAACACGGCTATGAGGTTCCAATCTTTGACTTAAAAAAATAATTTTATCAACTCATAGAAACAATAATAACGCTAAATAACGAGATAATATTTTTTTATATAAATGTCTGAAGCTTTTTTGTTGAATTCCTTTAGAATGGCCTTTTTAAATTATTATTAGATTTATTTAAAGCGCCTCGAGTAATTATTTTGGTATTTAAATATTGGAAATATATTTTACAAAATTTGTGGGATTTTTAGTAATTTTGAATAGATATCAGTAAATACAAAATAAACATAGTTACTATTCCAGTAACTAGAAATTCAAAAAAAATCACAATTATCAACGTCCCAAATAAAATTTAATCACCATATACAATATACATACAGGATATACTGTTCACAAATTTATTGCAGAATCCTACCAGATATTACACCTATTACACGTAGCTAAGTAAATTGCAGTTTTAAATGATGAAAACAAGGAGAAACTAGGCCTGTACGTATCACCAACTCGTTCCCAAGAACATCGGTCGCATTTATCTAAATCTATACAACTTTATAACATTGGTATTTTCATCACGGATACTATTTTAATCATTCTTAAAAATAAATCAATATAAAAATTAAGAAGTTGTGTTGCCAATGTCACGACGGCAGAATAACTATAACTGTATGAGATTTAATTGACCTGTCACACATGAGTGATATGCCGCGGCAGATTACACGAAAGAACAATGGCCATTTTGGACTGGGGAAAAAACTTAAATTGTTACCGACATGAGACTGAAAAAATGCCTAATTATTTGATTCTCCGTACTTTTGATAATATACTGAATGCCGTATTTTTATAAATTTGAATAGACAAATGAAACAACATACGTTTCATCAAGTTACGTGATATTAGATTTTACTAGTCCAAGCATGTTAGGAGAGTGGCCATTGTTCTTTAATCTTGCGCGATTCATCTTATGATTTTAATAGAAAAGATTCGCTATTGAAATCTGATGTAGAATGTTATATTATCATATTAGCTAAATCTAACATTAAGTACGAATACGTCTACAGCGGCGATAGTATCTGTGACAAATTTACGTTCAAAAGTAACAATAGAGATCGTGATGCGGGATATTATATAATATTATGCATTTGTTGCATTTTAATTTCTTCTAAAAGACTTCAAATGTATGACATATTTAAACGAGTGTACGAAAAGATATCTATTATATTATAAAGTTTTCAAAATCTGACAACACACAGTTTTACAGTGTACAGAGGTCAGTTTCAACATTGCTACACGCAATCAGCGAAAGGGCAAATAAAAACGCACATTGCAAATTTAACAACCAACTTTGAGAAATAAAAACCAATGAAAATCTAAAACACGCCGATGCCAAAAGCAAGATCGTCTATGAATCGGCTTTAGATTTAACAGAAGTAGCAATGTCGAAACCCCAATGAAAATATACCAACATTTCAACACTACCGAACAAAACTCTATTAAAATATGTGATATTAACATACCTTAATTACTTATACATATATATAACATTCAATAGACATTAAGACATTCTATAGGGACTAGTAAAGTTTATAGACGTATTTTTCTCTCTAAGAGACACAGTTCAAAGTGTTAAGAGACCCTTAATAAAATAGTCTTAGTTCGTAGATAATAAAACAATTGCCGGTGTAAGCCACAGACAATTGTATGTTTAACGTTTAATTGAGGGACCATAAGCTATATTGTCTTATAACATTCATTTATTCATAAACGACACACGAGATAACAAGAATGAAGATATGAGATATAGTGATATAGATTATATATTTCTTGATTAAAAAAAACAATAAATCGAACAACTATAAATTCTGTACACATATAACTTCCGAAACAATATACTATGTATAGGCAATATGAGAAGATAACAGGGTACAGTGATGCGAGTTGATAGAACAATGCAAAATTTCAATGAATATTTGAAAGATCTTATACTATTCATAAATTATGTTCTACAAACATTATTTAAATTTAAACAATGAATTGCAAACTGAATGATAAATGAACTTACAGTTCAATAATTTACTTCATTTACTCATTTCATTATTCTATCAAGTCTGAAACAATTATATTATAGAAGAGCTTTAAAAATACATTCGGCTCACGCAAGCATCGTTATAGACGATTTTATATTATATCCACTTTTGCTATGATTTCAAAGCTAATGCAACCTAACTGATCAAAGGCGGTAAAATCAAATATTAAAAAAAATGCTTCTCTGTTTCTGAGTCAAGTTTGCAAGTATTTTGTAAGTGGATATCATATAACGTCTCAGATGTCAGGTCAAGTGAATGCGGATGCTCCCCAGAAGTCCGTGCGTCTTGCTTAAGCTGCATTCCAGAGAAAGGAAAAACATTTACATTTAGCAAATATACATCATCTTTGTAATATATTTTTATCAATCCTTTTCATGGTTTAGTTAAAAGGACTGTCGCATTGGCTCTGTATTATAGCTCCAATTTACTGCCATTTTATTCATACTAAAGTACATAAGCATGCTATAAATAGTTCTATAATTTATTCCTCAAAGTTGGTGGTTTCTTTAAGACACGAAAATTGACAATGAAATATGTGACTATCGTTCCAAAATCAATTATAAGTAAAAACTAGGTGAATGAAATAAAAAGCAAATGACAACTATTTACACTGTGGAAACACGTGGAAAATGAAAGACCGAAAATAAAAATCAAAAACAAAAAACTAAGAACTGATATCTCCAGTTCAAATATACTGTTTCCATATATACATACAGGTTAATTTTTTAGGTAATAAAAATATCTCAATCGACTTATCAAGTGTTAGTATGATTAGAACTTGAAATCGTGCCCGTCTTACCATCGTCGTTTTCTCTATCTACTTTCAATGACTTTATCCGTTTCTTCGCGTCGTCGATTGATTCCTGTGACGACTTCTCTTTGGATATAAGTCTCTCGCTTGCCAATATTTTATCTGGATGATTCGTGAAAAACAAAATGTTTCAAAATAAACATAATGAAAAAATCAAGCAACTAAAGAAATAAATTGGAGTTTTAACTCTAAGCAGATTTGAAATTAACGTAAAAATATGAATTAAATAAAAAAAATGGTATTTATAAAATCTACTTAAGTAGAAGCAAAGAAAACGATAGCAAATGTAAGGTTAACGATGTAACAGTGGCGGATAAATTGATAAAAATGTTTGTGGTTGTTTTAATAAAAGTACATATCAGTAATAAAATGTAAAATATGCGTGAAGTAGAAACTTTACAGACACGGCTGTATTCAAAGAAGATAATCCGACTTTGTGCTGAGAAAAATGAGCAAAATAGATTTGAAACAAACATTAAAACGAGTACAAAATTGAAAAATGATATAAATATGAATGGTGCAAGATAAACAATATTTTGATGAAATAAAACGTTTTTGTCTGTAAGGATTATAAATAAGGATAAAACTGTGAAAGTTATATAAAATGATCAAGAATATGGAATAGGAACATACCCTGTGAGTCGTCGGCACTTGGCTGGCGGACTGCTGCCGCGTCGGCCTCGTTGGCTTGGCAGATCAACGACAAACGGTAGAAATAATTCCTCCAGAAATTCTCCTCCGTGATTCTGTAATGGAATTAACATATATGGATGACCAGGTAAATCAAATTCAATAAGATTTAAGTATTATGACGAGAAGCTGAAATATTTTCAAGTTTACTATTGTAAAATAGCAGTTTAATGCTGTTGTGTTTCGTATATCGAGTGTAGAGAACCGGAGACCCTTTTAACTGGTAACGAGGCATTCCATCTTAGTCCTCATGGCTGACAACGCATCTGTATTTTGATTCTTAATCGAGGATAGATGTCGATGTCTATGGGCCGCAGCATCCACTTATCACAGTGATTCCCAACCAGTGGTCCGCGGACCACCAGTGGTCAAAATATGGTCCGCGAAAGATTTAAATATTTCACCTAAATAATCATTTTAAATAACACATTTATTATTTTCTTGTCACGGGAGCAGTGCAAACCCGCGCGTTAAGTCGCAATCAAAATCGCAATTTTTTTACCAAGCATGTATGATTTCTTATACAAAAAATACACAAATAATACTGTGAATGAATGCTTCTTTTCAGTTTATTATATAATTATATTAAAAGTTGTGATTAAAATTTATTTTTAGATTTTAATCGCAACTTGTTCTTTCGCCTTGTGGTCCCTGCTAACAACAAAGAAATTAAAGTGGTCCGTGGTCAAAAAAAGGTTGGGAAACCCTGTTAAGTCACGGTTTCTCAACCTTTTTTGTGGACTGTGTGCTTGCTTGTCAACCTTTTTCTTTAAAAAAGATAACATGCATATATCCCCCTTAATTTGTGGTTGAGTGTAGTATTATCCAATGACAAAAAGCCAGCACATTGGAGGAAATGATGTGCCTCTAAACAGTTTAGAACCCTATATTTTACTTAAGGAGGAACTAGATTTGTTCCCATGAGTATAGCGAAAAACAAGGAAACGCAGCAAATTATTCATTAAATCTTTGATAGCGTGATTTAGTTGTTGTTCTGGCTGTTTACGCTAAAATAGAGTAACGACAGCGCCGATGCAACAATTATAATTAACGGTACGTCAACGTACACAAATACTCATCAGCTTGCACTTTTCATTAAAACTTAGTGTTGATTTAAAACAATTTACCACGTTAACAGTGGTAGAGCCACGCGGCAGCTTTTGCTGTCGCACGGATGGGCCGGCTCGAACCGGGGTAGTACCACGACCTCACAGAAAACCAGCGTGAAGTAGAGATTTACCTCTGCGTTTCGCTTGGTAAGTGCAGGTGGCCGGAGGCCCTTTTTACTGGAAATGAGGCATTCCATCTTAGTCCTCACGGGTGACAACGCATCTACATTTTGATTTGTAATAGAGGATAGATGTAGATGTCTATGGGCCGCAGCAACCACTTACCATCAGGTGGACTGTGTGCTCGTTTGTCACCCTTATTCTATAAAAAAAAAAAAAAAAAACGTTCCAGGCGGTGAAGGGAAACATCATGAGGAAACCTGCTGCTGGTACAGGAATTTAAAAAATCGAGGATACATAAACTATACGAAATCGACAGACTTCACCGCTCCTAAACTCCAGAAATTAGAGAAGTTCTGTGATACGTTAATATACTTTTAGTCATGTAATATTTTTTATAGAAATAGAGTGACAAACGAGCACACAGTCCAACTGGTGGTAAATGGTTTGTTGTGGCCCATAGACATCTACATCTATCCTCGTTTGCGAATCAAAATGCAGATGCGTTGTCAGCCTTGAAGACTAAGATGGAATGCCTCGTTTCCAGTAAAAAGGGTCTCCGGTACTCTACACTCAACATACGCAACAGCAACATTAAGCTGCTATTTTACGCTGGTATTCTGTGGGAGCGTGGTCGTACCCCGATCAAGCCGACCGATTCGTGCTACAACCATAATATAGCTGAAGCGTGGCTCTACCACGTATATTACGTGGTAGAGCCATGCTGCAGCTCTATCAGTAGTATAGTTGTAGCACGAATGGGTCGGCTCGACCGGTTAAGGACCACGCTCTCACAGAATACCAGCGTAAAACGGCAGCTTGACACTGCTGTGTTTCGTATGGTGAGTGTAGAGAACCCGAGACCCTTTTTGGCATCCACTTAACATCAGGTAGACCGTGTGCTCGTTTCTCAACCTTTTCTATAAAAATATTGTTTAGAACGTGGAATATACTTACACTTTGGGCACAAGGTCGAAGCGCATCTTCTCGAGGTTGGGGTCCTCACCCATGATAGCTACGGCCACAGGGTACATCTTGTCGTAGTCGAACTCAAACTCCACGCCAGCGGGGGGCGCGCGCACGAAGTTCCGCCGATCCTGTAACACGTTTAAAAAAAATAATTCCTTCATCGGACTGTAAAAATCAACTACCTTTTACTTACAATTATTTAATTATTATCTATTGTATTCTTCTTAATTATTCTATCGTCAAATATTTTCCTTATTACTTATTATATATATACATATATTGTTAATATTGAATTTTATATGAGCTTTAAAAAATCCCGTGTAATGGTGGGTACCCACTACCCACTACCCCATTTATTTTAAATATCTACCCGTCTGTGTCGTAAGAGGCGACAGAGGGAAACTAAGGCAGAAGATGGACAGCAGCATCTTTCTGATAACAACAAAACAACTATTCAAAACCGCGGTTGCCAACCCCCTCGCGAAACGTGGCAACTATGGCAATATACCCCCATGATTAAAGATACGAAGAGACGGCCCCCAGTCCCCGATGGCGTGCGGTACGGTGGCGACCATGGTAATGGCAGGACAACGGGTGCTAAGAATCTCCGGTGGAGGTTCGGTTACCATTTAAGACGACTCGACCTGGCAACATACGACGTACGCACCCTGAGGACTAACGATAAGACACTGGAGCTGGAAGAAGAGAACGACAAGTTGCGCAGAAATATTATAGGATTATCTGAGGTCCGAAGAGAGGGGGAGGTCATGGTAATCTTCGAATTCGGCAACTTGTTCTATCACCGGAAGAGCCACCATCTGTCCCAAAGAGGTGTTGGATTTATCGTCCACTAATCTCTTGTTAACAACGTAGTAAAGATTGAGAGTGTATCCTCGAGGGTTGCGTATCTATACTCAGAATCATCAAACGGTATTCGCTGAAGGTCATACAGGTTTACGCACCAACCTCGGCATATCCTGATGAGGAGGTGGGGGAAATGTATGAAGATATATCTAAGAGCGATGCATTCCTCCAAAACCCACTATACGGTGTTAATTAGAGACTTCAACGCAAAACTAGACACAAGAGCGAACAGTGAGCTGAAGGTAGGGAAATTTGGAATAGGACAACGGAACCCAAGGGGCCAGCATCTGGCCTACTTCATGGAGAAAGAGGGACTCTTTATGACGAATTCTTTCTTTCAGAAGCGGCCCCACAGAAAGTGGACCTTGTCGGGAACAGACGGTTCGATAAAAAATGAGATTGACTTCATTATGACGACCAGATAACAACTGTTCAGTGATGTCTCAGTGATCGCGAGGGTGAAAACCAGCAACCATCACCGAATGGTGAGAGGCACACTGAACCTAAACGTTAAGGTAACGTCTAATGAAGTCAACGCTCCGTCCCCCTCGTACTCTAATCCAAAGTCGTGAAACCTTTCAGCTCGAGCTACAAATCATTTTCACTGCCTAGAAGATTGCAATACAGTGGACGATATGAATGTCAAGCTCGTGGAAACTGTCCATATGGTCGGAGCTGAGTTTTGCTAGAACCGCCGCAGAAGAACACAGCAGCATACACAGAACAGACAGATCTCCAAATGCATGCGGCGGCACTTACACAAATTGAATACTGCTCGTATTGAAGAACTGATCGAGCGGAACCAGGGTTCCAAAGTCTTTGCTAGAGAACTGTCTGCCAGAAAGAACCAACTGTCGAAGCTGAAGACCGAGTGTGGCAGCGTCGTTTCCGGGACACCTGAGATTTTGAGTGAGATTGAGAGGTTCTATGGGCAGCTGTACACATCATCGTTAGAGCCACACGCAAGTGTGAGTAACAATCCAAGAGCAAGTCTTCCGATTCAGTCACTATTCCGATGATATTCCGGACGTCAGTCTGAGCGAGATTAGAATGGCTCTCCAACGCCTTAAAAACGGCAAGGCCACAGGCGAGGATGGAATTACAGCGGAGCTTCTGAAAGCGTCTGGAAAACCGGTACCTGAAGTCTTACAGAAACTTTTTAATTCCGTTCTCCATGGTGGCACTACACTGGAGGCTTCGAGCAGAAGTGCGGTGGTCTTGTTCTTCAAGAAAGGCGACAACGCTCTCTTGACGAAGTACAGACGGATTTCCCTTCTGAGCCGCGTCTACGTGCTGTTTTCGAGAGTCATTACGAATGGTCTCGCAAGCAGACTCGACGACTTCCAGCCTCCTGAACAAGCCGGTTTCCGAAAAGGCTTTAGCACCAAAAACCACATGGTCTTTGGTGAAAACCCTTAGTGCTTCACCCTTCGGCAAACTGTACAGAAATCCGAGGAGTACAATTTGGCACTATTTCTGGCGTATGTTGACTATGAGAAAGCCTTTGATTCCATAGAAATTTGGGCGGTGCTGCAGTCCCTCCAGCGGTGCCAAGTGGACTGTCCGTATATCGAGTGTTTGTACAGTAGGGCTACGATGTCTTTTCGAGTACAGAATTAGAGTACGAAACCTATCCAACTGCAGAGAGGTGCAAGACAGGGTGACGTTATATCCCCGAAACTCTTCACCGCTGCACTGGAAGACGTTTTCAAGCTTCTGTACTGGAAAGGATACGGTATTAACATCAACGACGACTATATCACTCACCTTCGATTGGCCGACGATACAGTCCTTATGGCAGAATCCCTGTAGGACCTAAGCACTATGCTTAATGACCTCAATAGTGCATCCCAACAGATAGGTCTTAAGATGGACATGGACAAAACAAAGATAATGTATAATGTCCATGTCGCGCCTATGCCGGTAGTTGTTGGGAGCACTAAGCTCGAAGTTGGTGACGAGTATGTTTACCTGGGACAAATAGTCAGACTAGGTACGTTCAACTTCGACCGAGAGGTCATTCGACGGATTCAACTCGGCTGGGCAAACTTAGAAATGAAAATATCCGCAGTAAAACCAGAGCGACCGACATAGCCCAACGGATTAGTAAGCTGAAGTGGCAATGGGCCGGCCATATAGCTCGAAGAATCGACAACCGGAATGGGGAAAAAAGGTTCTCGAGTGGCGACCTCATACCGGCGGACGAAGTGTAGGGCGTCCCCCCACTAGATGGAGTGACGACCTGGTGAGACACGCAGGAAGTCGATGGATGCAGATGGCTCAGGACCGTACCTTGTGGCATTCCTTGGGGGAGGGCTATGTTCAGCAGTGGACTTGTGAAGGAAGGGCTGTAATGATGATGATGATGATGATGATGATGATTTGAAAAATCGACCCTGAATCACTAAATACACACATATAAATAAAATTGAAGTGCCTGTCTGTAATTTCGAAAAAAACTGGCTTCTATTAAGCCCAGGAGTTACGTCCATTTGCATGTTATTAAAACATGAATAGCCATTTTTAAAATTTTTGTCTGTATCTGTACGTCCGGGCTAATCTTCAGAATAGCTGAACAGATAGTGATGAAACTTCATGAATAGATAAAAATGGCTGACAGACAATAGAGATTTTTTTTAAATGGAAAAAGTGAAAAAAAAATGAAAGTCTCGACAATATCCGTCCATTCCCATTTCGGATATTAGCCGGAACAAGCACACAGACAAAATTTTTAAAAATTGTTATATTATTTGTTATACTCGTAAGTACTGTATAATATAATTTCATATGCATTTAATAAAAAGCTGTTATTTTGGCATTTGAAACAGACACTTCAATTTTATTTATTTGTATAGATGTACTTACAGTAGAGAGTGACAGACACTCTTCCTTGAGCGCGGCCTCGTTGGGAGCTCCAACCCAGGGTGCCACGGCAGCGCCACCCCCGCGGGAATCCTGTCCCTTGATGAACGCGTCCTGTTCGCGGTTGAACTCGCCCAGTATGCTCTGAGAACAAAAACAAATTGCCTTTAACATTTTTTGATATCTCTCTAACAACACGGAGCAGTAGATGACTACTATATTTGTGTTCATATCAGCGTTGCCAGAAGTACTACTTTTTAAAGATTATAGCTTGATATCCTCACAGAATACAGCATAAAATATCAGTTGAATGCTGCTGTTTTTCGTTTTATGGTGAGTGTAGAGAACGGGAGATCCTTTTCACTAGTAACGGGGCATTCCATCGCAGTCCTCAGGGACGACAACGCTTCTGCATTTTGATTTCTCTATTTTTTAAATTATACCATATCCAGTTGGTCTTTACCATCGAGTGAAACCACCAGTCCACCTTATGGTAAGTGGCATCTGCAGTTCAAGGATACCAACTTAAAACAAATAATGTCACAGATGTGTTACAGCCTGAGGTCTAAAATAATGCCTCACCGCCTATAATCACTAATTATGCTAGTAGGGCTTGATCCTCCAAAACACAACACAACTGTAAGTGTAATGCTTGGCGGCAAAAATAGACAAAAGGATGACACCAACCCACACGGACTACTAGACAAAAGGTAGTTCTAGTTCTACAATCTTGCACGATGAGCTTAATTTACATATCTCAAAATTGCGTGGTGTGTCGCAGAAATAAAAACAAAAAAACCGGCAAAGTGCGAGTCGGACTTGCGCACCGTGGGTTCCGAACAAATCTGTAGGTATATAAGTTTAAAATTATTAAAAACATTTTTATTATATGATGTAACTAAAAATTTATGCTTTTCGCAATTTTTCCTTTATCTGTGCTGTAAAACGTTGCTTCGTACCAAATTTCAAGATTCTGAGTTCACGGGAACTAACCCTGTAGGTTTTGATTCCCTTGCGAATGTCGAAAATTTACGGCATAAACGGCTGTATCTTTTGATTGCGTTGGCTTAGAAGTTTTATTTTTTCACAGCTCTAAGGGACAATAGACTTGAGTATTTGATATGAATTTCAGCTTGATACCTCTACGCGTTCCTGAGAAAAAGGGCCTTGACAGACAGACAGACAGACAGACAGACAGACAGACGGACAACAAAGTGATCATATAAGGGTTCCGTTTTTTCCTTTTGAGGTACGGAACCCTAAAAACACTTGGAGGAATTATGAAACCCGCTAACCATTGGAGCAATGCTACGAACTCTACCCCTTTTATAAGCTGTTGTTACTTGCTGATGGCCAAAAGGCAAGTAGTCGCCGCGTTCATTAAAGGCAATGATGAAAGTTTGACGTATCTCTTTAGCAAAGCAAATTCCCAACGCCTCTCAAATTATCCGTATCCGATCGAAAAAGACGGGTAAGCGCAGGAAAGCATTAATCTTAATCCCGTAAAGGAATTTTCTGGAAACTCTCATTAACCTTTATTAGATTCCGCTAAGATGTAAATTTAACAAGAAATTTGCATTAATTTGTGACTTGGCATGATATTAGCAAGATTTAGGGTAATAAATGTAATGAGCACTTCAAGAATAAATATATCATATTAGACTTATTAAATTAGCAATTTGGCAGAAGGATATAAAAATCTATTTTCCTCTTAATTTCTTCCTGTGTGATAGACTTACAAATAAGGATATCCGCAGTAGAACCAGAGTAAAGAAAAGTGGCAAAGAGCTTAACTACTGCTACCCATTAACAACTGTAACACTAACGGCATCAATTAAACTAATTTTACGATTTTATCGCGTTTTATTTTTACTTTTTAATTCCCGACGTTTCGGGTGCTTCACTGCAACCATGGTCAAGGCGGTGAACAGCACACATTGTCAGTCTCCCCCTCCTCGTTTTCGTACACAATCTTTTAACATTTATATATTAATAAAACTCAACGTTTTCTTTGTGCAGGTCGATCACAATACCTATTATTATAGATGACGAAAAATCTATCATGCGAATGCAAGGGTTGTCGATAAATCGGATTAATCCGACCGTACGGCTGCGGCTTCCGAATACGTGATCGATATTTTTTGCTTTAACACAGGATTTAAAAAAAAAAACACATGATTTTAAACATGATGGATGGTGAAAGTAATTTAAATTCAAAAATAAAGTTGACATTTTAATTTTAATCTACATAAACAGGTGTAGTAAATAATCTTTTTATTAATTATATATTCGTAAGATGACTACGAGAGCTCTCACAGCCCGCGTCATTCAAGCCTAACTGGCTCTTTTCTTTTATGCCGAATCACAACCATAAGTGTAATTTGATTTTTTTTATAAAATATGAGTGACAAAATAGCACATTGTCCACTTTATGGTAAGTGTATGCTGTGACTCATAGACACGTAAATTTATCCTAGATTAAGAATCAAACGGCAGATACGTTGTCATCCCTAAAGAATAGGATGGAATACTTCTTTATCAATAAAATGGGTCGCCGGATTTCTACACTCGCCATACGAAACACAGCAGCATAAAACTACTATTTTACGCTGGTAATCTGTGAGAGAATCCTTCCCCGGTCGAGCCGATAATATAGCAGCGGCGTGACTCTACCACACAAAAGTGCACTACGGGTGGTTCGATCCGGCGACGGGAATATAGGCAACAAAAACGATTGCTTACAAGACTCATCGATGATAATAGTATAGTATAGTAGTTAAACAGAATTCTTAGTCAGAAATTTCGCGCTATTTCACACCCGTGCGTCGGAAAGCACGTAAAGTCGTTGGTCTTGCACCTGATCTCTTTCCTTGGTGTTGGATTACCTTCCTGCTGGACTATAATTCTGTTCAGCTCATAGCTAGTCTCCGTTGAGACTGGCCGCCGTGAACGAAAATCGGTTTGGAGGGAATTTTGAACTTGCAAGGTAAAATCGAAACTGTTGTAAAGAAAAAAAAATGAATGTTTCCAAAATAAAAAGAATAACAAATAGGTGTTAAAACATATTCAAACGACGTCATCGGCAAATTTCAAGTGGACGAATAAACACGCAAGGGAATAAACCTCCTCGTCTCATGAAAAATCGTGTCCCATTGTGTGTACAAAATGGACGATAAATTTTAAAAGCGTTTGTGTAAACGGACCGCCGCGCCGTTCTGTCGCATGAACGCCTGGAAGTCAAGTGTTAAAGGATGAATATTTTACTTTCTTTTCTGTTTTATTTTTAACGTTTTATATTGTCCTGATTTTCCACGTAATCAGGGGTAAAGAAAAACATTGTGAGAAAACCAAACTGGGGTGTTCGGAGACTATCGATTTTAAACTCGAGTTATATAAGTCTGTATTCAGTTACAATTTCGACTTTAAACTGAAACTCCACAACGCAATTAAAGTCTACGCAATATAATTAACACATAACATTTCGAAGTTTAAGTTGTAACTCGACAACGCATCTGAAGCCTTCTTTCTTTAAAGTTGGCTGAAGGTATTCATTAATTTCAGTAGCCAGTAGCCACTTACCACTTAGCAGTACTGTAATTTTTTTTGTAACTTTTTGCCTAATAAGAAAGAAAACGTATTTTTAGATATTTTCATATGAGGATACACACACATTAGGCGACTAACTTCTATGAAGCAATAAAGAAAATATGTATAATATATAATATAAAATGACATATAATATAAAAAGTAAAAAACCGACTTCAAATCGCTATAAAATATTTATTTGCTACCTTCTTTTTTTATGAAATATTGGAAATATTTAATAAAAAAGAATCATCAAATTGGTTAACAATCTGCGAAGATATCGCGTAACATATATACAAAAAAGAAATATATACTCAAATTGATAACCTATTCCTTTTAAGTCGGTTAAAAAGTTCGGACTGTATCCTTGATCGTATGCTATGCGTGACTGACTCTCCGCGATGACCCCAACCCTGGTCATGTCGTCGACCGAATATAGTTTGTCTAAAAGCGCTCTTAGTTGACTTTTACGACTAACGCAGAAACTGGTGCAGTGGTACCAACATAACTAATCATCATCATCATCATCATCATCATTACAGCCCTTTACAAATCCACTGCTGAACATGGCCTATGTTCAGCAGTGGACTTGTAAAGGGCTGTATGATTCGCGAGGCTATTGAAATCAAGAAACATCCTAATTTCAATAGAGAAGATGGCTGGGTGCTACCATCTGCTTGGGATCCCATAATTAATAAAATTAAATCCCAACCCAAGCATACAACTGCAAGACTTCATGATACTGTAAGTTCATACTGCGTAGATCGGAACAAAAATTAATAATTTTTAATCTGGAGGTAGCCGTGGTTAACTATGACATTGGGACATCATACACCTCAGTCCCCCCCGTGACCATGGGTGCTGTAAAGTGCTTGAAACGTTGGGAATGTAAAATAAGTTAATATACGCGATAAAATCCGTAAAATTAATTTTATTTAAATGTGTAGTGTAGGAGCCATCGTATCTATTGAAATTATGAATGATTTTTTGTTTTGTTGGAAGGAATCGGTGTTCTCTAGGGAGGATTTCTGGTCTATCAAACCTAATGTAGTGACGGGGGCAATCCTGCACGTGTTCACAGACTGCAGACGACTTCCCGAGTCTATTCTTCACATCAGCTATGTGTTCTTTAACGCGGGTTTTTTTTGATCTTTTGGATTGTCCTATATAAAAGAGTCCTTTTCTTCGGTCGGGTGTTGATTATATTTAAGTAAACTGCAATTTTTTATAGGATAAGGATGACAAACGAGCACACTGTCCACCTCCATCATGTGGGGACACCCGTGAGGACTAAGATGGAATGCCTCTTTTCCAGTAAAATGGGTCTCCAGTTCTCCACACTCACCATACGAAACACAGCAGCGTTAAGCTGCTATTTTACAATGGTATTCTGTGAGAGCGTGGTCCTTCCCCAGTCGAGCCGACCCATTCGTGCTACAACTATACCTACTACTAATATAGCTGCAGCATGGCTCTACCACAAAAAATCTTCACTTTCAAAAAATACGCATAATAAAAACAAATTCAAATTCAAATTACCTGAAGGAAAACAGATAAAA